GGGGAGGGCGGGGGTGAGGGGAGGGCAGGGGAAGGGGAAAAAAAATAACCAAGATACTCATGTAATGGTACAAGATCCCAATGATGTATGTAAATGTATTTTATACCTAAAATGTACCAATAAACTTAATGGTGGAAAAAAAAATAAAGTTGCAGGAGCGGGGGGGGGGGTACCATACTGATAGGAGAGCTGCATTCATTTTTAGTGGAATGGAGGAGAGTGGCTGCTGCTAGATAGCCAGGGTGGACACCCAAGCAACTTGTACCAGTCCATGTGGAGGTGAGGGAAGCAAAAGGAAGCAAGGAGGGTGGTGTTTGCCCCACCACTACTGAGCCATATCTCCCTCCAGTGAGTGCAGGAAAAATGGGAGAGTCAAATGCTTCTCTTGTCTCATAGCTACTAACTAAAAAACAACCCAAATATGTATCTGTGAGCAAATTGTGAGAATCCTTATAATGGGCTACTATTCAACCATAAAAAGAAATGAAGAACCAATACACACAATAACATGGATCAAAAATGCAAGGCTAGCCTGGTGTTGTGGTGCACAACTGTAATCTCAGCACTTGGAAGGCTGGGGGAGGAGGGTTGCTGTGAGTTCAGGCCAGCCTGGGCTACATATTAAATTCAAAGCCAGCCTGAACTACACAGAAAGACCCTGCCTCAAAAACCAAAACCAAAAACACTATGCTAAATTCTAAAATAAGTTAAAATAACCTTATATAGTGACAGATGAGATCAGTGGTTACCTGGGTCATGGAGCATGGTAGGGAGCAGGGACTGAATATACAGAGGCATAAAAGAACTTTCAGGGAGTGATAAGAGCATTCCATATCTTGTTTGTGGCATTATTCATGTGATGAATACACTTGTTTAACTTCATCAAATCATCCACTTGGAATGGGTGCATGAGTGCATTTTGCTGTAGTTAACATACATATCTCACTAAAGTTGATTAAAACAAAAAACTGCCCTACTTCCTATGCCCTAAAGCATCTAAAGCATAAAGCTCAAACTCAAAAAACTTGCAAAAGCTTTCACAGTGTCCCCCTGCCCGGTTCTCCAGCTTTCGGCCTCGTGTAGTCACGGTCAGAGTCACAGCTCAATGCTCTAGTCACATATGTGGAGAGTATAGTGGGCAAAAAATTACTGCTTAATAAGCACCACATTCTTGGCAGATACTATCACTCAGGTCCTGGGATGTAGAGAAATAATAAAAGCAAATCTTGCTGGTAAAGGGGTTGAGAATAGTCACAAAGGTCCTCTCTAAGTGCCCCCAGAATTAACAGCCTAGGCATTCATCCCTGGAACCCTGTAGAGCTTACTTACTGCAGTAATATCCTTCTAAATAAGTATTTTTGCCAAGTTACTCTGCTATTTTCCTGCTTGAGGACAAGTTTTAAATTTTGAAGAGAAAAAAGTACCCTTCAGATACTTTCAGTCACTCATTCCATACCACCCATAATATGTCACTCTCTCTAGAAATCCTGCCCTATATGGCTTGTCTTTAATGGGGTCAGCATTTAGTGAGCTAGGCATGGATTGTGTGCAAAATGCATTAACCTCTCACATGATTGTAAAAACTGCCTTAATAAAATAGAACTAAATCCTACTTAATAGCAATAAAACAGAAGCCACTGTGTTCCAAGGATGCTAATGACCTATGAGTCATTCCTTTTGATTGTAGAAGGTTGTGCATTTGGAACCTGTCCCTTTTAATGAAACTTTTAAGCTTGGATAACTGCTGAAAAATCACACAAGTTAAAATAAGTTTCCTGCTCACAGATAACTGGAGAGCCAAGAAACTTCCATCATCTTCTTAAAGGTCCATCATCCTCAGGTGTGCGCTTCTGAGGTCACAGATGCAAATGACAAAAAGGAGAGTACTGATTGTAATAACCAATATTTGCCTAGCACTTTACTACTTTGAAAGTTCTTTTTTTACCTATATCAATTGATTCAACTCACATAAAAGACTTATGAAGTAGGTACCATCATCTCCATTTTATAGATAAAGTAATTGAGACACAAAAAGGTGAAGGAATTTGTCCAAATTATCACAGCTAATAGGATGAAGAATTAGTACTTGGATCCAGGTCTTCTGAATTCAAGTCCCACATTCTCCCCAAATTCTGTTCTCATATTTATCTTGAATAATAATCATTTGCTTATGAAATGGAAGAAAACGTTTCCATGTCCTTGTCTTAGTTACTTTTCTTGTTGCTGAAACAAAATACCCAACATCCACAAGTTAAAGGCTCACAGTTTGTAAAGGTTTCAGTCTATAGTCAGCTGGCTTCAAGGCAGGGTGGCATGCCAGAGGGGCATGGTGGAGAAGCAGTTCATGGCAGAGCAGGCAAGAGGCAGCAAGCAGCCTTCTGGACTTTTATCCCATTCAGGCTATAAGCCTATTGGGTGGTGCCACCCACAGCCAGGATGGGCTTTCCATTATCCACACCTGGAACTATGCTAAACCAATTTAGTTATCACACATCCTTAATCCCAGTATTATGCACCCTAGATCCAGCCACCTCCAAAAACCCCACCTATGAGCACGTGAGGCTTTGGGGGGACGTCTATATACAAGCCATAACAGAATCTGAAATGCTTTGGCATCTTTCCTTTCCCAGCAAAGTCAGGTTCACTGAGGCAGCATTTGTCTCCCCAAGTCAGAACCATGGTTGCCATGGCCTGGAGATGCTTTGGATGCATCCCCCAAAGCTCCTTGGCATATTGAAAGCTTGCTGGGAACTGAGACTTACTGCATGGTAATAAGGTCACTGGGGGCGCTGCCCTTGGGAGGGATTGATACTAGTCTTGCAGAATGAGTGAACTGTTCTTAAGAAAGAGCATTATTATATGAGAGCAAACTTGACCCCTGAATTCCTCTCTGGATCCTGTCTCACATGGGATCCCACCTTCTGGCACATATTCCTACTATGATGTCATTCACCATGATGTGACACAATCAAAGAGGTCCTCACCAGAGGCTGAGCCCCTGGGACCACTTGATCTTGGACTTTCAGCCTCTAAAACCGTGAGCTCAAGAAACTTCTTATCTTTAGATGTTGTTCAGACTCATGTATTTCATTATAGCAATAGAATATAGATCAGTACAATGATTTTCTACCAGTCCTTATAATAACTATAGTAATAAAAATTATTATTGCAATAGTGACAACGACAATAATTGTAACTGCTCTCCTCATTGAGCCCTGCAGGCATTACAAGTCTTATAAACTTTAACTCAATTTTAACAAGGTAGGTATTATTACTTCTCATTTTTAGATAAAGAAACTAAGGACTAAAGGGATTTTAAAAACTGACCAGGTATGGGGTAAGGTAAGTAATTACAAAATCGGCTCCAGTTTTCTACCCCTCCCTGTACCCATGCCCTTTGCAATGAGATTTCCCATAAGGAATTGGAGACATTTTTCTACCCTTTGAAATCAATCTCAGACTTGCTGTGGCCAGTAAGATGCAGCAAAAGTGAAGATAAGCCAATTCCAAACTTGTGCCCATCTACTGTCCCTCAGAACCCTGCCACTGCCACAGGAACAAGCCCAGGCTTGCCTGCTCGACAATAAGAGACACACAGAATAAGGGTGCTTTGTCTCAGCTCAGGCCCTTCCCGACCAGCCAGCCCCTCTCTGACCCATTAGTAATACAGACACATGAGCAAGCCCAGCCAAGACCAGCCCAACCTGTTCTGGATCAAGAGAACCCTCCAGCCTACCTTCAGACTAATGAGAACTGTAAATTGTTTCAAGCTATGAGGTTTTAGCACAGTATGATGGTTAGTTTTATGTGTCAATATGACTGGGCTAAGGGATGTCCAGACAGCTGGAAAATGTTATTTCTGGGCGTGTCTATGAGGATGTTCCCAGATAGGTTAGTATTTAAATCAGTGAATTATTTTCACCAAAGGGGATGGATATCATCCAAACAGTTCAGGGTTTGAACAGAAAAAAATAGTGGAGGAAGGAAAATTTTACTTTCTCTTTTTGAGCTGGGACATCTATCTTTTGCCATTAGCCAACAGAATTCTTGGTTCTTGGGCCTTCACACTCTGGGACTTAACAACAGTGGCTCCCTGGTACTCAGGCCTTTGGACTGGAGCTGAATTATACCACCAGTTTTCCTGGTGCTCCAGCTTGCTGATGACATTGTGGGACTTCTTAGTCTAATTCCCATAATAAATCTCTTCATACAACCACACATACTTTATTATTTGTTTGTCTGGAAATCCCTGATTAATACAGACAATTTGTTATACAAGACCTAACCAATACAAGGTAAAAACCAAGATTTAAGCCTAAGTCTTATCAGCTACATAACCTGCATTTGCTTCTTCTATCCAGGCACTTGTGCAGTATTTTTTTTTCTTTTTATTTTATTCATTTTAGATATACAAAATGATAACATCCAACATAGGGAATTTGTACCCATATATGATATATCTTGCCTCTTCTTTTTCTCGCATTCCCTTCCCTTCAACCCCTCTTTATTTCAAAAGCTTTGTTTCCATTTTTTCTTCTATTCTGTTTTTTTCTTATCCCATCTTTCCTTTCCTCATACCCTTTCCCTTGTTTCACATCTCATTTGAACATTTTCTTCCCATTTCCCAATATCTATTGTACATTTGGTTCTTATTTACACTTCCAGTTTCTCACACCAGAGAAATCATGTGATATTTGAATATGTGTGTCTGATTTATTTCCCTTAGGAGTATGGTCTTAAGGTCTATTCATTTAGCTATAAATATCTCAAGCTTATCCTGCTGTATGGCACAGTAGTACTCCATTGTATTAAAAAACCACATTTTGGCCAGGGATTTAGCTCAGTGGTGCCACTGCTTGCCTCAAAAGCGCAAAGTCCTGAGTTCAATCCCTGGTGCAAAAAAAACCAAAACAAAAAAACCACATTTTTTTATCCATTCATTGGTTGATGGGCATTTGGGTTGTTTCCAAAATTTAGCTATTACAAACTGTGCTGCTACAAACTTGGGTGTGCATATGTCACTGTGCTATGATGCTATTAATTCTTTCAGGAAGATACCAAGTAGGAGAATAGCTGGGTCAGATGGAACCTCTAGTTTTAGGTTTTTGAGAAATCTCCACACTGATTTGCACAGTGGTTGCACAGTGGTTCCCACCAACAGTGGAGAAGAGTTCCTTTTTCCCCACAGCCCCACCAGGATTTGTTATTGGTTGATTTCTTGATAATAGCCATTCTTTCTGCAGTGAGATGGAATCTCAGCATTGTTTTAATTTGCATTTCTCAAATGACCAGTGATGTTGAACATTTTTTTCATATATTTGTTTGCTGTTTCTACTTCTTCATCTGAGAAGAGTCTATTCATTTCAGATGCCCATTTTTGAACTGAATCTTTAAATCTGGGTGGTCTGATTTTTTTTTGGAGTTCTTTATATATTCTAGATATTAGTCCTTTGTCTGAGAAACAGCTGGTAAATTTTTTCCCCACACTGTGGGTTGTCTCTTCACTCTGTTGGTGGTTTCTTTCGCTGTGCAAAAGGTTTTTAATAAGATGAGATCCCAGTGTTGATTCTACATGATATTTCCTGTGGGATCAGGGTTTTGTTCATAGTCTTTGCCGATACCAATGTCTTCAAGGGTTGTACCTATTGTATCTTCCAGCAGATTTAATGTTTCTGTTTTAATATTTAGATCTTTGATTCACTTCAATTTTAGTTCAGTGCATGGTGAAAGATATGGATCTAATTTTAAACTACAACTTGTGGAAAGCCAAATTATTCCAGCACCATTTATTAAAGAGGCTGTCTTTCTTCCAGTGAAGGTGTTTGGCTCCTTTGTCAAATAAAAGGTTTTTGGAGTTGTTTCTGTATCTTCTAGTCCATTCCATTGATCCTCAAGTCTGATTTATTGCCAGTACCATGCTGTTTTTGTCACAGTAGCTTTGTAGTATAATTTCAAGTCAGGGATTGTGATGCCTCCAGCCTTGCTTTTGTTGCCCAGAATTACTTTTGCTATTATAGGTGTCTTCTGGTTCCAAATAAATTTTAAGATTCTTTTCTGTAATTCTGTGAGATATGCTATTGGTATTTTGATAGTGATTGCATTAAATCTGTATAACAATTTTGGAAGTATGGCCATTTTCACTATTTTGCTTCTTCCTACCCAAGAACAAGGGATATCTTTCCATTTTCTGATATCTTCTTCAATTTCCTTTTTCAGAGTACTATGGTTTTCCATGTGAAGTCTTTTACTTCCTTCATCAGATTGATTCCTAGGTGTTTCATTTTTTTCAATGCACATCCACAAATAATGATAATTTAGCTTCTTCCTTTCCTATCCTTATTCCTTGTATTTCTTTTTCTTGTCTAATTGTTCTGGCTAATGTTTCCAGAACTATATTGAATAAGAGTGGTGACAGTGGACATCCTTGTCTTGTTCCTGATTTTACAGTGAAAGCTTTCATTTTTTTGTCTATTTAGTGTGATGTCAGCTGTTGGTTTGTCATAGTTGGGTTTATCAGATTGAGATAAAGACCATCTATTCCAATTTTCTGTAGGCTTTTATCACAAATGGATGTTGAACTTTGTCAAATGCTTTTTCTGCATCTATTGAGATGATCATGTGGTTTTTGTCCTTAGTTCTGTTAATATAGTGTATTACATTTATTGATTTGTATATGTTGAACCATCCCTGCATCTCTGGAATGAATCCTCTTTGGTCATGGTGTATAATCTTCTTGTAGATTTGCCGCATTCCGTTTGCCAATATTTTATTGAGCATTTTGCACCTATGTTCATTAGGGGATTGTAGTTCTCTTTTTTGGTTGAATCCTTCTCTGGTTTTAGTATAAGAGTAATGCTTGTTTCCGGGAATAAATTTGAAAATATTGCTTTCCCTTCAATTTCATTAAAGAATTTAAGACGTATCAGCATAAGGTCTTCTCTAAATTTCTTACAGAGTTCAACAATGAATACATTAGGGCCTGGGCTTCTCTTTGTTGGTACATTTTTAATTACATCTTCGATTTTATTGACTGATATTGGTTTATTTAGAATATTTATATCTTCTTGATTTAGCTTTGGTAATTCGTATGTATCTAGGAATCTTTCCATCTCTTCTGTGTTTTCCATCTTATTAGAATATAGGTTCTTGAGTAGGTATTGATGATCTTCTGCATTTCTACAGGATCTCTTGTGATTTCACCCTTTTCATTGCTAATTGCATAAATTTGAGTCTTTTCTTTCCTTTTTGATAAGTTTGGCTAAGGGTTTGTCAATTTTATTTCATCTTTCAAAGAACCAACTTTTGAATTCATTGATTCTTTGTGGTTTTTTTCTTAGTCTTCATTGTATTAATTTCTGCTCTAGTGTTTATAATTTCTTCCCTCGCACAGGCTTTGGGCTTGAATTTCTCTTGTTTTTCTAAAAGCTTAAGGTTCAACATTAGGTTGTTTATTTGAGCTCATTCTGTTTTCTGATATGAGAGTTCACCACTATAAATCTCTCTTGTAGGACTGCTTTTGTTGCATCCCATAAGTTCTGGTATGTTGTATTGGCATTATCATTTAATTGTAGAAACTGTATAATTTCTTCTTTAATTTCACCTGTGAACCATTGGTTGTTCAGGAGAGTATTATTTAATTTCCATGTGTTTATGTAGTTCTTGTGGTTTCTTTTGCCATTGATTTCCAATTTCAATGCACTATACTCTGATAATATGCATAGGACAATTTCAATTCCTTTGTATTTACTTAAGCATGTTCTATGAGCTAGTACGTGATCTATTTTGGAGAACATCACATGTTAAGCTGAAAGGAATGTGTATTCATTTTTTTTTTGGTACCAGGGATCAAACTCAGGATGGGCTTGCAAGGCAGGCGCAGTGCCACTAAGCTAAATCCCCAGCCCCCTAGGAATGTGTATTCTGGTATTGTGGGGTGGAACACTCTGTGTTTCTTGTATGCAGCATATTTTTGGATCTTGCTTCTTGATCCATTCTACTAGTCTGTTTCTTTTGATTGTTGAATTGAGACCATTTACATTAATGGTTATGACTGACATGTATTGACTTATCCTTGTCATGCTATTTTCTTGTTTTTAGTTCTTTTTTTCCCCTCCTCTGTTTAACTATTTGCCTTGCCTGGTGGATTCATTCTGTTGAGGTTCATGGGGTTGTAGTCCCTAATAGCTTTTAATATTCTGATCTTGTGTTGAATTTTTGGAATCTTGACTATTATATGTCTTGGTGTAGATTTCTTTTGATCG